CAGTTGGATTTAACTGTGCGTATGCCTGTCCCTTTTATTGACGGCAGCATACAGAAAAACGTCACTGACCTAGGCTATGGTTGAAAGCAAACGCGTAACAAAGAGGAAAAAAAAAAAAAAACTCACGATTTAACCGCCAGTGAAGGCCGTTAAATTTCCTGCGATTTATTGGTAACACACACTAAGCATAGCGTTCCCCCCCCCCATCACCACTACACCGCAGCAGTTTCGGGCTGCTTTGCTTTCTGCCGGTCTGGAGGAAAGCTAAGAAGTATTGCTTTCAAAACAAATTGAAGGGAGAAGAAACAGATGTGAGATTTAAATATATCTGGCTGGGATGTAGTTCACGGGTTCTACAGTCAATAAATTCTGATCAAGCTATGGCTTACTGAAGCAGCATGAAGAGCTACAACCCTACATTTACTCTTTTATTTCTTTTATTACGCCAACTTGAAGCTTTGACAAATGCGCGGCTACTTTAACATAAAGAGGCTCAGCAAATACTGGACTAAATCAAAATAAAGTGTGATGCAACGTTCATGGCAGTGAATTTCAATAACGGAGATATACTCGTAGTTTCAAGCTTTATGCATCTGAAAAATATCAGATTTCTCGATTATATCAGTTCAGATATGGTGCCAACAATATTCAGGCAGACTGCAGCATTGAAGAGAAATTTGCCGCAACATGAATATAAATCGGGATGAAATTATACACACTTTCGAGATTCGAAAACATTAAAAAAAGGTAATTTTATCCAATAAATTTCAATTTTTTTTAAAAATAATTTTGTTTTGGTGCTCTGCACACTTGCAGTGATTTGACACCTCGTGTAGCAATTTTAGTGACCAGCTGTATGTTTGTGTGTATGTATATAAATATTTATGTATAGGAAAAATATATATAAAGTAAAAAAGACACATTTTAGACTTCGGCACAATATAGGAGTTTATAAATATATTTTGTCACGTCAGAATTTTTGTAGCTCTTTGTTACAGATTGCAAGAACCTACTCCTCTGCTCTTATTTTTATATTATATTATATTTTACATTTTTTAGCATTTTTTAGATCAAATTTTCATTTTTCTTTTACTTTTTATATGTTGTATTACTGTTGTTTCACATGTCTAGGAACTCGGTTCACTTTAAAAAAAAAAAAGAGCAGCTCGTTTTGCTTGTTTATGAACTATGCTTTTTTTTTTTTTTTTAATACGGCATGCATGTTTTCAAATTTAAATTTAGTTTTGTTTTTCCAGTTTTTGAATTAAAAATTTTACATATCGATTTGTATTTCAAATGTCAGATTATAAGGTATTTCTCCCGCCTTCCTAGCGTGCCTTCGTGGTGTAGTGGTCAGCACACTGAGCCGGTACTTCAGATGTCCGTGGTTAGATTCCCAGTGAGGGCATTGCTAATTTTTCACGTCTCCAGCATCGAAATAACCTAATATCTCTACAACTGAATTAAAGTTGTCACTTTAATATTCTATTAATAAATATCTTTTTATCAAAGGCGGTTGCTAATTTTTCACCTCTTCAACTTCCAAAAATTCCTAATGTTTCTATAGTGGTGCCCGAACTAAAAAAGTGTTGGATGAGGATTTGGCGATTAGGTCCCCTAAAAACCCCAATCGCCCTTTAAAAGGGGGAGTAAATAAGATATTGCTATCGCCTTCTTGACATGCCTTCATGGTGCGGTGGTCTGCACGCTGGGCGCGCATTCCAGAGGTCCGTGGTTCGATTCCCAGCGAAGGCGTTGCTCATTTTTCATCTCTTGCTTCGAAATTACCCAATGTCTCTAGAACATTACTTATACCACCACCACCCACTTAGACAATTCAGCATTTTGAAGACAGATAGACAGGACAAAAAGATCAGCTGCAAGTTCCATGTTCTTAGGTGCAAAATCACTTTGAAGTTATATGAGTTGGTATCCGTGTACCGTCATTAGGTTATTTTGAAGCAGTAGAGGTAAAAAATGTATTTTGCCTTCGCCAGGACTATGACCCTGGACCTCTCGATTACGGCAAAGGGGCAATTTGCACAGAAGGACTATTAATTTCGTTTTGGCATTCTGCGACGAGTCACTTTCTGCGTTGTTTCAATTTTCAAATTGTTGCCACCAAATATTAGTGCCCTGTATTATATTTAAAGAAATTAAATAATGGAAAATCTGCATAAATGTATGTATTTTTCTCGCATTGTGACAAACGGTACCCAGACCTCTGAAATTTTCAGTAACGTAATCTTTCATTGAATTCGGGTACCTGGTAGCCCGATTTTGGAATTTGTTTTATTATCGATTTCATATTTTTTAAAAACTTTAACGAATTTTTTATTAAAGATTTCAGAGCAAGCAATGGCCACTTTGTACAGAAAAAACATTTTTATCTCCAGCGCACGAGACTGTATATCCGAAATTCTAAAGATATGCTCATTTTAAAATTATTTTGCGATATTGCTGTTGACCTGAATTTTATGGTTTAAATGCAAAGAACATGATATTTAATAAATAATGATAACACACAAAACGTTAAAAAACGCATTTTTGGACGTAATTTAAAATTTGAAACCTTTCAAATTTTCTTTCTTTTTTTGTTTCTTTAGTTTTTCCCGGCTGTGTATTTCAGAGAGCCTTTGCACATTCTTGATCATAACTACTAATTTAATATAGTTTTAAATTATACCCTTATTTGAAATGTTTGAGTTGCGATTTTTTAAGTCCGGATTGTTAGCTTTAAGCAAAACTATATCTAATTAGAAACGTATTGTTACAAAATGTCCAGGCGCGGTAAGATGGCTTCCCCGCAAAACAGTTTTAGGGTTGCCATAAAATGGTAAAGGAAGGCAAGGTTTGTCTTAGACTGTGCTGAGTCGAGTTGTAGCGTGGAGAGTCTCGAGAGTACGTGGAGTTCCGAGAACGACCAAACAGAGTCGAGAGCTGTACTCTAGTGCTTTGCCGTGAAGCTGTCTCCATCGTGATAGCCTGATAACCTGAAGTCTGTGTCGCTGATCGTGTCAGCGTATTTATAGTAGTTCATCGACGACTGTAACGTGATTTTGGAGCCGTCCTGATTAATATTGGCTAAATAAATTGTGTTTCGATATTTCATTAAGTGCTGTCATCATTATTCACTCCAAATCCACACAAACGCCGTACGAACGTGAAGGAAGAAAATAACGTAATAATTGGAACCAGAAGAATAAACAAAAAAAAGTAACAGTATGTATCTATATCCTTATATTGCCATTTAAATTATTAAGCTAAGAAAATTTGTATGAGTACACGTTTCCCAAGATGCGAGACATTATTTTAAACTCAAGGCGCAGAAATAATTTTTTAAGTAAATCGAAAATTTCGTTGAGGCTTACCGTTTGAAGGCGATCTGGGCGGTTTGCTGTAAGAACTGCTGTAGTCGCTATCTGAATCTCCGAAGTCGAGGGTAAGTTGCTCGTCTCCGTTACATATGCAGGGGCTCTTCTTGAACTGAGCTGCCTTCACATTCAAGGTCGGTACGGTTGGTGGAGAGACCTTTTTGATCCCCTTCACCGAACCATTCCGCTGCAAGCCGCCCACTGAAACATAAAATAATTAAATAATTAAACTTCAACATATGAATCTATATCACTAATGTAAAGGAAAACATACTGTCTAAGTAAAGACATTTTTAATAAAATTTAAATAATGAACAAGAATAATTCACTCAAAAGTAAGTTGTAATGGCAGACAAGGAACATAAACAGCTCTAAGGCAAGAAGAAGAAAGTCATTGGATTTGTAAAACTGTAGGTAACTGTTTGCTAGTCTTCGAAGAACTGTCAACAGTTGCTGATGTAAAAATCTGTTCCTTTTTAGTAATGGTATATTCTATGTGACAGATCTACGTAACATCGATTCAAGAGAGAAAGCGGTCTAAAATTCTCTCTTCCCGACATACACATTATGTTTAAGATGATTTTATGCAGTAAATCCGTAAATCGAATCAGTGAAATTGAAGCCACTAATTTCTGTTCCAGAAAATTACAACAGCATTCGACAACATAGTACAGCGATATAAATTCTTTTCACTACCTTTTATGGAAAGCTTGAATGTTGTATTTGTTGCACGATGTTTGTATGTTACAAAGCAGAGTTAAAACATCTTTGATCATTTGATGAGAAGTTGCGTTTTTAGAAGAAGATGGTTTAGAAAATCTGGGTTTCACTGATCAGAAACAGATCTTTATCAAGGCGCAACCACGTTAGTTACCGGGTTTCTTATCTGCTATTCTTTCTATCAAGGTGGTTCTAAAGTTTTCAGATAGTTACAATAATCCAAAAAGGATTTGATGGCTAGTCTTATGTCAGGAACCGTGGAGAAATTTGTGTATTTCGATAAACTGTTATTTCAAGGTACATGAGAACCTATTTTTTATATTTAAAGGAAAACATGCCCTACTAGCATTTTCTCTAAACTTCTTGAACACAGCAATATTTCACATATTTAAATATTTTTATATGATTTATTTTTTAATTTATTGTATTTTTTAATTAAGAAATAAACTTAACCATTTATTATTCACAGTATATTTTATCATTATCGTCACAAGTAAATGTAAGAAGGGACACCAGAATTTCACCACTGATCCCACAGGTATAGTGCAGCCGCACTAGCTATTAAGCTTCACCCATTTTTGATGCAGCAGGGAACTGTTTGATGATCTCCCACCTCCCTTTCTCTACCATAAAACTACCAGAGAGGACTTTCGGATCGCTGGGTAATTTCAGTGCCCACATGTCGCACAAATACAAACATCTAATGTCTTCTTTGGGATGCAATCCATGCCTTCTCCGGGATCCGAGCCCGAGCATAATGCCAGAAGTAGATTAGGAGCGCTAACCATTATACCGATCAGGACGAATTATTATTATCACAGTATTACACGCGCCGCTCGAGTCGGTATAGTAGTTAGTAATGCTGGCTGCCGTATCGATGAGCTCGGGTTCGAATCCTGGAGAACGCGCTTAGATATCTGCCAGTATACAGTATATTTGTGACGTGGGGGGCACTCAAAATACATTGGAAGCCGAAAATGCTTTCGGGTTGTTTAGTGGTACGGGTAGAGTGGTGAAAAACCCTAGGCTCAATTCCCCACGGGGTTACCTTTCAAAAATGGGACCATATACGATGCTTAAGGTCCATGGCAACGAAACGCGCAATCCTGCGCTGCTTGCCAGGCTAAAATCTGTGGATTTGATCTAATGGTACTGTCAGCAAGGAACAGCAACAACACAGCGTGACAATGAATTATTTATTACAAAGCAGTGCGCTATTCACTCGTGTTGCATGCTACTCGTGTTATTTCCGACTAAATCCGACTTAAAAAGATATTTCCAGAAACGTATTTCGTTCTACGAAGACCGGATGTATATATTTTTCAGCAGGAGTTCTTTTCATCTAATTTTAGATTATATTCAAAGTTGCTGGAAGAATATTTTAGAAATATTCCCGAAGATATAAAAAAAAGCATATCTAAGACTTACTGAAAACGTGTAGGGAAAGAAGAAATCCAAGAAAGAAGACACGGTTTCCCTTTGCGGACAAATCGTAACATCAAAGGGAATTCGATCAACTGAGTACTTTGAGTTACATGCACGCAATCACGCACGGCAACGGAAATGTACGTTAGATTCCCACGAAAAAGTTTTTCGCAAGTACTGTCAGGGCCGTGTTTTTTTTTTTCTTCAAAAAAATGTCGGATTCAACATCGGTATGCGAAATATGTGATCTCAAAGTGCAAAACCGCCATTTATTTTCAGACACTATTCATAACATGTAGATAAATATTTAATGCTTAAGCGAATTTTATGATAAAAAAATTACACAAAAATGTAACTTTTGCTAACAATGTCACGGTCACTTTATTTTAAATTTTCTTCTTATTACGTACCATCATGGTGTAATTAGTTGCGATCGATAGGTTCGTTGTTCGAACCCTGGGGAAGACATGACCGACTTTTTGTGTTTCCTGGTTCAAAAAGGCCTCAATAATAAAGCCAGAGCGAAAAAAACCTTAACAAACTCTTTAGGGCGACCGTTAAAATATAAGACCTTTCAGATATTCTTTTATTTATCTTATTAATTCAATTAGCTGTGGTGCCATTATGAATTTTTTATGCTGGCGTGAAAAATGAGCAATGCCCTCACCGGGACTCGAACCTGGACCTCTCGAATACGCGCCGAGTGTGCTACAGTCACCCATGAAGCACGAAAGGCATGCCCGTTGAAAAGACGGGAGAAAACGGGGGGCGACTGGGGATTAGGGGAACCCATTCGCCAACCAAATCATGGCGGTGACGAATTATTGTCCACCACCTTGTTACCTAGGTTGTTTGAAGCGGGAGACATGAAAAATGTGCAATGTCCTCACCGGCGATCGACTCTGCACCTCTCAATCCGCACCGAGTGTACTAACTGCTACACCCCGAAGGCATGCTATGGAAGGAGAGAGAAGATACCTTGTAAATGTTTTGCATTTATTCTAAACGTAAGTCTTAATATACTCAGAAACTTTGATTAAAGCTTAATAAATTAAATCACAACAAAGCTTGATTGTAATAGGCTGTACTTTTTTAACCATATTTCACTACATTCTCTAACCGTATTTCGACCCTTTTTTGCTCAAAATTAACGTCCAAATGACATTTCGTTTTTAAAATGTTTTTAATTTCCAGTTAAGAGTATTAATAATCCTCATTCCATCTTCGTATTTTAAATGCATTAAATATTATCATGTTAACTGCCAATTAATAAATTTCTCAATTATATTACTACAAAACCGAACTTATTCATTTGGGTTCCACAACATTGTCTGCCTTAACGATTCATATGGACTAATATTTCAACGAATAGAATACCGATTATTAAAATACAATGATAACGTTGAATCAATATAAGGCTTCGTATCAGCTTCAGTTAATAAATTATTACAGATATCGATCCAATATGAGATTTTAGAGATTTACTATCATAACAAATCGCATCATCATAATACTGAATAAGATTATGCTAGAAAATTTCTGGCGGTGATTTAATTTATTCACTATAATTCTAAAGCAATTTCTTTTTCTTTTTTTAACGGATCGCTATTAAATGCTTATCATTGATACCTAACATCGTATAATCTCATAGATATATCGATTTTTCGATATCATTATTACCTTTGGTAAGTGGAAATTAAAGGTGGACACGAAGTGTCATTCTACCTCATTTTCAAGATGGTGAAGCGGGCATTAGCTCGCTTTACTTCCGCTGTCTGGTGGCGCCATATACAAGTAAGGTTGGGAAGTCCGGCGTCATGACAGAACTAGTGTTCTTGAGGGTAGTAAACGACACTGGAGGGCGTAGAAGTTAAATATCGTGCTGCCAACTATAGTGCACTTGCATATTCGCTAGATTTGGATCTGTTGTTGGTGCGAATGATGATTGGCCACTAAGATCCCCGCAAAGGCTTTATCACAGAAGGATGATCAAACAAGTAACCATGTAATACAATCCTGCCTTGAGCCTGCAATTCATCCATGTGAGAAAAATTTAGAACTGATTTGTTTTGAAATCAATCAGCTTTCAGACATTTCTTTAAGACGTTGAGCTCCACGCGTATTTCTTAGGCAAGATAAGATAAGATAAGTTTGGGCTTCCCTGCTCCGAGAACTCAATCGCACTGCAGGTCTACTCCCCCTTTGGGCACATCGTGGAAGTTCAACCTCCACTATTACCCTCCAAGAGAGCAGCGCACCACCTGGATAAGACACCAGGCATATTTCTTAGGCAATCCCGTTCAGGACACGCGCGCCGCTTATAAGCGCTGGTATTGTAGGGTCAGGAGTAATAGCCAGAATAAAGACTAAGAGAGTTGTCACATTTTGCTATAGCAGTAATAGAGAACTGTTTTTATATTTACCGTGTTTCAAATGAAATCCATTAGTCCTGTAATGTATCAAAATTAAGTAAATTTTAAATAAATTTTCTGTAATTCCATAAAACAGTGTAAATTTTATAGTTATATATCATGATACACGCTGCCAAACAGCGGCGGTCGACGGCCTAAAGGAAAAGTCAATACGGAAAGTCTAGTGTCGGCCACAGATGGCTGATGCGGCCTAAACGGAAAGTCTAGTATCGGCCACAGATGGCTGACGCGGCCTAAACGGAAAATCTAGTGTCAGCCACAGATGGCTGGCGTGGCACTCAACGTGTTAACTCCTTCAATCCTAGTCATATCTAAAACGTAAGAGCCGCCCCACCGGTATAGTGGTTAGCGTTGCTGACTGCCGTGCCGAAGGGCTACGTGTTCGAATCCCGGAGAAGGCATGGATGTTTGTAAATGTATAGTGTCGGTGCAGCATGATGGCTCTCTGAATATGTAGAGAGCCGAGAGTCCTCTCGTGTGGTTTGGTGGAAAAGGGAGAGAGATGAGAGACGCTCGGATCCGTCCACCCCCAGGATGCTGCTCTCCATCAAAATTGGGGGGCGGAACTGAGCTAAATCGCACTGTCATCTTAATGGTGCTCAAGGCTGTTGCCAACGGCAGGCG